GTGTTCTGTGCCCTAATCAAACTTCCTTCTACTGGGGACTCACCTGAGAGATGTCAAATCTAGGGACTCCTAGGGGCTCTATCTAAGGTATAGATCAGAGAGTTTTTTTTTTAACCTGGGAACACACCTAGAAAGATACCATGGCCTGGGGATGCCTGGTGGATATATCTATGATGAGAACCAGAGCTTCCTTCTCCTTGGCACCTACCCATAGAGACTCCACTGTGGATTCAGGATGACTGATGTCCATGTGAGGAAAACATGAGAAAGAAGCTTCCTGTGCACTGCCTGGTGTGCTGAGAAGTAAGTTCTGCCATGTTCTTTACTTTCTCAGCTAATATTTTAGCAGAACTTATTTTACAACAATATTTCTTTTTTTAATATTTATTTTTTAGTTTTTGGTGGGTACAAAATCTTTATTTTTTTATGTGGTGCTGAGGATCAAACCCAGTTCCCCAGGCCATGCCAAGTGAGTGCACTACTACTTGAACCACATCCCCAGCCCCACAACAACAACAGTATTTCTTACTGAGGCTTTGGCTGCTCATTATCATGGTATGTCAATGTGTTTTGTGTGGCTTGAGTGTCTAAGGACACAAATGCCCCCTCAAGGTGGTGCAGGGGGGGCCCAGTGCCTGGAGTCTCACTGGGGCCTGAGGGTAAGGGCTCATGAAAATGCAGTAAGAAGCTCTCAGGAGCCTCTAGGGTGAGAGATGTAAAGATTATGATGGATTGCAGTACCCTGAATCCTGGGTAACTACAGAATCCTCATTGCAGTTACCAGAGCCTTCTGAAGTGATGGCAGTATGGGTCAAATGACAAACTGTACTACCCATAATTCTTGGGGACCTGCAGCTTGCTGAGACCTCTGCAGAGAGGGCTGAATTGACAAAATATCAAACTATGCTACCAATTACTTTTGGGTGCCTGTCTGCCCAATAGCCTCTGGGGTGAGAATTGCAAGGGCAGAATACCAGACTTCAATGCTCAGAACTTCTGGGGATGCCTATATACCCTGACCCTGTAAGTCTCAGAGGTTTCTGTGGTGACAGTTGTATTGTTAGAGCACACTACCTAGAATCTCTAGGGTACTGGGAAAGCATGGGGTCTTCAGCTCCCGTGATCCTCAGCAGGACTGTGCAGGCAAACCCTAGACTGCATTATCCAGAATCGTCAGGGACTGCAGCTCTGTGGTGAGTGGGCAAACTATTGAACTGCATTAGTCACAATCTTAAGGGGGAATTTGAGTTTCAGAATTTTCTGCAGTGAGTAGGAAAAACACAGGACTATATTACCCACAAATCTTGGTGCCAGCGGCTCTCAGGATCCTCTGTTGTGAGGACTTTGGACTGAGAGCTTAATTACAGTATCCAGAATCCTTGGTGAGGTGTGTTGCCCAGGTGAGTATGCAGCCTGCAACTCCCAGAGGCCTTCCAGTTGACAGCTGTGCATTATGCAGGTCAGACTACAATACCTACAATTCCTGGGACACACTGGTGAATGTGCTGCCTGCAATTCCAGGAGGCTTCCACAGTGAGGTCTTCAGTACCAAGGCAAGCATGTGGCCTTCAGTTCTCATGGCCCTTGCAGTAGGGGCATGTAGGCAAAACACTGGACTAACTTATCCAGAATCCTCAGGGGGGATCACAGTTCCCAGGATCTGCAATAGTGAGGGCTTCAGGGTAGCGAGCTGAACTATACTACCTAGAATTCTTGGAGGTGCCTGGTGTCCATGTGGCCTGGAACTCTCAGAGGCTTCCACACTGAGGGCTATGGAGGCAGAAGGCAAGACTATGCTACCAGAATCCCTGGGATCCTGCAGCTCCTAGACACCTACCTTTTGAGCACTGCCGGGGCAAGGTTTGTATTGCACTACACAGACTCCCAGGGTTGTCTAGGCAGGCTTGTGCTACACAGATCCCAGAGCTTTGATGATTAAGTCCACTTAGGTAGGATGGACTGCACAACCCAGAATAATCAATGGCCCATAGCTCTCAGAGACCTCTGCGGTCAGGGCTGATTGAGTAGAACTGACTACAATACTCAGAATTCCTGAGGGCTCTGAGCTCTAAGTAGTCACTGTACAGTTGAACATAGCACCAGGCTATAATACTCATGATCCTTGGGGGCTTGCAGCTCCCAGAATCCACTGTAGTGATGGCTGCCTTGGCAGAACACCAGACTACACTGTCCAGAATCCCTAGGGATGCCTGAATGACTGTGGAGCCTACATTTTCTAGAGACCTCTGCTGGGGGTTGGGGCTGCATTGTAGAAGACTGGATTACACTACCCAGAATTCTGGGTGGGTATATGAGGGTGAATGTGCTACTTGAAGCCCCCATAGGCTTCTGGAGTAAGGGCTAAATGGTCAGAATGCCAGGCTACACTGTTCAGAATCACTAGGGGTTCCTGAGTAGCCTGTAGCTCACAGAGACCTCTGCAGCTGGGCTGCATTGTAGAATACAAGACTGCACTACCCAGAATCCTGGGGGTATGAAGGTAAATGTGCTACTTGCAGCCCCTAGGCTTCTGGGGTGAGGGCTGCATGGGTAGAACACCAGAGTCCACTGCCAGGGTCCTCCAGGGTGCCTGGGCCAGCACATGGCACACAACTTCCATGGTCCTGAAGGGCAAAGATTGTGTGAGCAGAGCACCAGACTACACTGTCTAGAATCCCTGAGAACCCTGAATCTGTGTAGCCTGCAGCTCCCAGAGGCACCTATGGTGAGAGCTGGACAGGCAGGACAGACTGAATGACCTAGAATGCTTTCAGAGGCTACTGGGAATTTGGTCTGAGCTTAGGTTCTTCTATCCCCCTACAGTGGTCATCCTAGGCTTGGAATTAACAGATTTTCTTAAAATTCCTGATTCTAAAATGGGGCAGACCCTGGCTAAGTCATTCCGTCTCAAAGACTACATGTCCCAGAAGCCTTTGTGGTGGTCTCTGCCCTTTGGCGCCTGAGTGAGGGTCTAGACTCCCTGTGGAAGCCTCCCTGTGTGCCTCTGCCCACCTGGCTCAGGCTGCTGCAGCCCTTAGCCTGGTGGAGTGCAGGGAGGGGTCTCCTGGACTCCATTTCTCCTCTCCTGAGATTCCACTCCTCATGGTGCCACAGCCAGACCTAGTTACAGCAGTGGGAACAGATTTTATTCAGTAACTGCTGAGGGTGGAAGAAGGTGCTGACATTCACCAGGGAGCCAGGAGAGGCCCGGCCTCTGAGCCATGAGCAGCTGGTGCACATGCACGTAGCCAAAGGGGCGTGGTCAAGAAGGGGCAGGGCTTCGCCGCCATCTTTAATGCTGCCTCCCTGAGAGTGAGGAGAGCTGGCTTCCCCCTCAGGACCAACCCGGGAGAGCCCCAGCTCACTGGAATGTTGGGTCACTCCACAGAGAGGGGCAGAGCTCCCTTCTCAGAGCAGATTGTGAGAGAGACCCAGGTTGGGGACCCTCGTGGGTCATGCCTCCAGGGACTCCCGGAGCTCCCTTCTCCTTAAAGCCGCCTCAGAGGACTTTTGGCTTAGAGACTTCGTGAGTCATGGCTCTAGGAATGTCTGGGGTTCCTTTGTCTTCAGATCAGCCTGAGGGGGACGCCTGTCTTGGGGACCCTCATGTGGCATGTTTCTAGGGTTTCCTGAGGGAGATGCCAAGGTTGCGGACCCTCACAGGTCATGTCTCTAAGTAGGCCCTGGATTCCCTTCTCCTCAAAGCAGTCTGGAGGAGACGCCAGTGTGGGGACTCTCTTGGGTCACGTCTCTAGGGATGCCTGGGGTTCCCTTCTCTTCAGAGTGGCGGAGGAAGACTCCTGGTGTGGGGAGCCTCGTGGGTCATGTCTCTAGGGATGCCCGAGGTTCCGTTATCCTCAGAGCAGCCTGAGGGAGATTCCTGGTGTGGGGCAACCCTATTTTGTATTAAAGAGACAGGGTTTCACTGAGTTGCTTCATGCCTTGCTTTTGCTGAGGCTGGTTTTGAACTCAAGATCTTTCTGCCTCAGCCTTCTGAACTGCTTAGGTTTAAATATATTACTTCTAACAAAGCCAGAATTTATTAAAAATACATCCCCTGTATTTTTAATAATGAACCACATTTTTATTCTTTAATCTTTTCTTAGTGTTGTTTAATTTTTTTTTTTTTAGTTGTAGAAGGGCACAATACATTTATTTTATTTATTTTTATGTGGTGCTGAGGATCAAACCCAGTGCCTCACACATGTTAGGCAAGCACTCTACCACTGAGCTACCACTCCACACATTTTCTTAATTAGCAAGAAGCCACCCCTACAGGACCCTCTTGCTAAGGCTTCCCCCTCCAGACCCTGCCTCTTCTCCAGATCCCACCCATATTCTTTGGCCCTGCCTTGCCTCCTGAACCACATTCCCCCTCCTTCCTACCCTGTCTCTACTCTATGTCTTACTCATGTTCTAGGGCCTGTCCCTCCCTCAGGTCCCACCCATCTGCCAAGCCCTGCCCCCTTGTGACTCATTCTCCCCCTCCTTCAGACCCTGTCTCTCCTCCAGATCTTTCCCTTCTTCCTGTCCTGCTCCTCCTGCAGACCTCACCTTCCCCTCTCTCTCTTTTTTTAAAAATTTTTGTTTTGCACATGGACACAATGCCTTTATTTTGTTTATTTACTTTTATGTGGTGCTAAGGTTTGAACCCAGTTCTTCACACATGCTAGGCAAGTGCTCTACCATGGAGCTATATCTCCAGCCTCTTCCTCTTTAAGACCCTGCCTCTTCTCCAGACCCCACCCATCTTCCAGGCCCCCTCCTCCTCCTCCTGACCTTCCCTCCCCCTCCTCCAGACTCTGCCCCTGCTAGTCTAGGATGAGCAGCTCCCTGGCTGCTGTGCTAATTGGCAGTATATTTGTAATGGTGCACAAATAACGACCATTGTATAAACACTGACATCCTGCATTGGATGAATTATTTTGACTGTATCAGAATTCAATATACCATAAGATAACTTTAGAAAAGTCACCTTTCTCTCTTTTTATTTTCTCTATAGATAATGAACATTTGAAATAAAGTCAGAATTTGTTAAAGGGCAGATGACAGTCAGCCTTGAGCCCTGATGATCCCAGGATCCCTTCCAGTGGGAGAACTCTAAGTACCAGTCCAAGGTTCTGTATGCTAATTGATTCATTTTCTTATTTTAGAGTTATTTTGTAATGTAATTCCCCATGGCCTCCAGGTCTCCAGTTCTGTGCAGTAGATTTTTCCAATTCAAGTTTTGATTAATATTCTTTCAGTTTTCTACAGAATTTTTAAAATATTTTTTTAGTTGTCAGTGGATCTTTTTATTTTATTTATTTATTTTGTTTATTTATATGTGGTGCTGAAGATTGAACCCAGGGCCTAACACCTGCCAGGCAAAAGCTCTGCCTTTGCGCCACAACTCTAGCCCTTTATAGAATTTTTAATTCTGTGAACTTTTATTTTTTATAAGAAATATTTTAAAAATTACTTTTAGCTTACTTTGTTTTGATTGAGAGAATTGGCTTGTTTGAGAGAATTGTCTTGTTTGGAAGTGTTCATAATCAAATTATTTTAATTAATTTCCGTTTATTAAGGTATCTTTGGAGACTGGATGTGCAGCTCAGTGGCAGAGCACTTGCCTGGCATGTGAGAGGCCATGGAGTCCATCCCAGCACCACACACACAGAAGATGTCTTTGACAGGACTCAAGCATGAGAGGTATGCTTTAAAAAGATCAAGTATTGGTGCTGGGGTTGTGACTCAGTAGTAGAGCACTCACCTACCACATGGGAGGACCTGGGTTCGATCCTCGGCACCATATAAAAATAAGTAAATAAAACAAAGGTATTGTGTCCAACTACAACTAAAAATAAAGATTTTTTTAAAAAGGTCATGTATTTCCACATATATATATACCACAGTGCCTCTTCCAAATTCATATGAAATTATTCTAAGAAAATTTCAAATCAGTTTTAAAAGAGAAGAGGGATGATGATATTTTTAATGTCAACTATTGATATTTCATAATATTTAAAACCACTAAAGATGAAATTTCCTGAGATGCAAATCATTACAAAATGTAAGAGACAAGTCAGTAGATGTTTTTTTGTAATTCAGATATATTTACTAAAAATAAGCTTTTTTAAAAAAAGATATTTTTTCTTTTTCTTTAAAATTTAGAAAGCATGCCCATATGTCCTATTAAAGTTCTACATTCATCAGAAAGTTCTCTTATTCCTTGCATACAAAGGGATGGGCCTTCTAATGAGCATGATACTTTATGTTGTCAGGAATTCTTGTGGGAGAACTCTTTAAGTGTTTTGCCTTTGTTCAAAATATTATTTAAAAATGTATCAATTTGCTTTTGATTTCAGAAATTTGACTTTCTTTTGAAATTATGTATTTATTAGTAGAGTTATTTCATGTGGGAAATGCCATGATTACATTTTATCCTAATGTTATCCTAATGTTGTGTTAATAATTTCCTAAGCTAGATCAACAGTCAATAAAGCCTTTTTTGTAGTTTTGATGGTAAGCTTAATGTGAACATGCTTTATGATGTGACACCACTGTTCATGATGGTCTAGGTATGCAATACACTATAAGGAGAGTATTTTGATTTTGAGAGTCTCAAGTGTTTTAGGCCCAACATGTTTTCTTAAGAGGAATGATTATTCATTTTCTATTTGATTACACAAATAAGACACAAATTCTTTTTTTCCTTTTGTGGTTCTGAGGGTTGGTCCTACCTGCATGCTAGGAAATCCTTCTACCACTGAGCTACATCTTCAGCCCCAGAGATCCATTAGTTGTCATGAGCTTCATGATGAGCTAGAGACAATAAAATTACTTAGAATTTCAACTAGATTTAGACTCATGCAAGAGTTTGGGCATCCATAACTCCTTGTGATTTCTAAAAGGTAGAGTGTTTTCCCACAACACAGCAGCATCTATTATCACTCCTGGACTGAGTTGACACCTCTGCTTCTCTTGGCTCACCACTTCCTGCATAGTTCTTGGAGGAGATGACTATTTCTTTGATTATTTGTCCCAGTCACAAATATTTGATTATATTGCTGCTAAAAAGGTATGCATAGAAATAAAATAGAGACAAGCATTCTTTGGGATAAATGATTCAGTCACAGTGAGTCAATTTGCATTAGGAATATATATATATATATATATATATATATGTCACTCTTTCAGGAAAGTTAAACCAGGAGTTGAAATAGAATCTCTAAAATGTCATTTTTTTTCCTCTAGTGATCAAGTTTTAAGAAGGCAAACCTAGAACTTAGTGACAGCATAAAAATATAAGGAGTTTACTTATGTTATTACTTCAACATGAAATATGTAAAAGAAGCACATATTTTGAATTTTATATTAGTTTGAACTATTTTATTTTTGTGTTATGAATGTTCATAATAAAATACAGAACTAGCTAAGAGTGTCAGTTACCAGTAATTAACTGTATGAATAATTAAACAAGTAATTGTTTGAGAAAATATAACCATGTCCTAAGGTTTTACTTTAGAGTAATTTAATGGTGTTTTTTTTTTGTTTGTTTGTTTGTTTTTGGTGTGGGGGTACTGGGGATTGAATCCAGGGGCACTTAATCATTGAGCCACATCCCCAGGCCTTTTTTATATTTTATTTAGAGGTAGGGTCTCACAGAGTTCCTTAAGGCCTCACTAAGTTGCTGAGGCTGGCTTTGAACTCGAAATCCTCCTGCCTCAGCTTCCCAAGATGCTGAGATTACAGGCATGTGCCACCATGCCAGGCTTAGTTCTATCTTTATACAGAAATTGAAAAGAAAGTGCAGAGATTTCCCAGGTAGCCTCAACCTGGTTTCTTCCCTTGTTATGACTTAGATGAGCTGTCTCTAAAGTGTTAACATCTTAGACCATTTGTCTTGAAGAAAAAAAATAATGGTATGTTAACATTAACTGAAGTACATATCCTTTGGATTCTCAGTTCTGTGTCTTCCTGTTCTAGGATTCCATGACATCCAGTCATCATGTCTCCATAGACTTCTCTTGGGGTGACAGTTTCTATGAACTTCCTTGTTCTGATGACCTTGAGAGCATTGAGGATGACTTGGCAGGTATTTTTTATAATTTTTTTTTGAATTTTCCTTTTTTTCATATTTAAACTGGGGCTGTGGGTCTGGGGGGGGCAGGTCACAGAGGTGAAGAGCTGCTCTGTCATCTCTCATCCTTATTGTCATATTAGTATTGACTGTGCTCACCTGGCTGAGGCAGTACTTTTCAGGTTTCCTTGTGTTTCTCATATGTAGCCTGGGGCTATTGGACTGGGGGAAGCTGGTCACTGAGATAAAAAGCAGCTCTATCATCTCATGCTATCAAGGTGAAATGGTAGTATTGATTGTGCTCACTTGCTTGAGGAAGGGCCTTTCAGGTTTCTTATTGTGAAGTTACTCTTTTTTTGCATGTCCACATTGTCTGTTCTTCTGGAGGAAGTCATATTGCAGAGCCCACACTTAGGGATCAGAGAGTTAGCTCTACCTCCTTGATGACTGTGTCTCTCTCAATTATATGGAATTCTTCTGCACAAGAGGTTTCTACTCAACCTCATTTGTTTGTGTATTCAGTCATTCATATATATCCGTCATCTGGATATTTTGCTTAAGCTGTTTTCTGTCCCCCCCCCCCGCCTTTTAAATAATACTTTGCTGCTCAGTTCATCCCTACTTTAACCATTGGGAATTCTTTCCATTGGAGATCTTTCCATTATCTCCTATTGTCCTTTAACACATTTTCTGGTTTTGTCACAAAGTTTTTTCTTTCTGATATTTAAATTACCCTGACTTATATATTTACTGTCTTAAACTTAGCATCAGCCATTTCTTCAAAGAGTCATGGCTCCTTTGATTGGAGAGTGATATTAAAATCTTTCATCTGGCAGGGGCTGGGGTTGTGGCTCAGTGGCAGTGTACTCATCTGGCATGTGTGAGGCACTGGGTTCAATCCTCAGCACCACATACAAATAAACAAATAAAATAAAGGTCTTTAAACAAGTGTATAAAAATATTTCATCTTGCATCTTGATCCACACAACTGACAATAAGAAGAAGTTTATGAGTGTATTCTAATCTTTTCATACCCCCTAGTTATATAATACATTCACAGATGGTTCCTAGTGGAACCATCTGTGAATGTATTAAGCAAAATGTGAGTTTATACTGATCTGCAGTCAGTGGATTCTGACCCATTATGACATAGATCCCTCTGCCTTCACCCCTTGTTTATCTTAACTTCTCACCCTATCAGTGGGAAATCTAGCTCCTAGTTTCTGCCATATAATTAATTCATTGTTCCATTATGGGAGCAATGAATTCATTATTGCTCCAGATTATGGGCTGTGACATAATAAGAAATACTCATTCAGCCTCTGCACCCAGTTCCTGGTGCCGCACTCCTAAAATCTTCATATTTGCTGAGTGACAGAGGTGTTTGGAGCATTTTTTGTCCTAATATTGATTCTTTTACCTTGGTTATTTGCACAGAGCTCCTAAATCCTGCAGAATCTCCTGGGGGCCTAGGAAGGGCTTGTGCTTTAATAAGGACTTTTGGTGGGCTATAGGGAAGCTTCAGGATGGAGGATGGTCATGAGAAAAACCAAAGGAGGGGTGGTGCACCGCAACTCCATGTAGATGGAGACTCCTGTGCTGGGAGGCACCTGGGCCTCATCCTGCACAAGTCTTCCTCTGTAATTTTGTCTTTTCTAGAATGCCATAAAACGTAAACCATACAGCATGTAGCCTCTTCAGCCTGGCTTATTTCACTTAGTGTACCAGGTAGAATTTATCTATTTCTCTGTGTAGGGTGGTAGGTGGTAGTTCATTCCTTTATATTCTGTGTTGGTTATGCATTCAGGCATGGGAGGACATTTTTTTTTTTGAATTTTAATATTCATTTTTTAGTTTTCGGCAGACACAACATCTTTGTTTGTATGTGGTGCTGAGGATCGAACCTGGGCCGCATGTATGCCAAGCGAGCACACTACTGCTTGAGCCACATCCCCAGCCCTGGGAGGACATTCTTATTTATGATCTGATCAGCATCATAGAGCTGCTATTCATAATTACATGCTAGTTTTGTTTTGACATACTTTTTCAAAGAATTTCTCTAAAAGAAGATGACTTATAGGGACACTGCTGGGTTATAGATTGGACTTTTTTGCTTTGGGAAGAACTGGCACATCATCTTCCAAAATGGCCATGCCACATGTTCTCCTAGTAATGCCTGAGACTGCTGGTATCTCACATTCCGTAGCTGTTGGTGCACTGCTGTTTCTTTAGTTCAGTAGTTCTAAAAGATGTGCCATACTACCTCACTATTGTTTTAATTTATGATTCCCTGATGATATGGGATGCTGAGCATCATTTTGTATAACTATGTGCCATCTTTTACAGAGTAGGAAAAAAAGTGTGTGTGTGTGTGTATGTGTGTGCATGTATGAGTGTGTGTGTGTGTGTGTGTGTGTGTGTGTGTGGTGCTGGGGATTGTACCACAGGCCTCACATAAACTAGGCAAGTGCTCTACCACTGAGCTAATCCCATCCTTTAAAAAATTTCCTAGGCTGGGCTCAAGTTTGCAATCTTCCTGCCTCAACCTTTTCAGTAATTGAGGTTGTTGGCATGCAACAGTGCACTTCGTAAAAAATTGAACTTTATTTTTTTTTTAAATTTTTTAAATATTTATTTTTCAGCTTTGGGTGGACACAACATCTTTGTTTGTATGTGGTGCTGAGGATCAAACCTGGGCTGCACGCATGCCAGGCGAGCACGCTACCGCTTGAGCCACATCCCCAGCCCCCCCCAAAAAATTGAACTTTATAAAGTCCATGTTATTGGTATTTTTTTTCAGTCAGTTGGTATTTGGTATTGTGAGTTAAATCTCATCAGAAAGGACTGGCGAAGTAGCTCAGCATTAAAAAGTTTGTACAGCATGTGTGAGGCCCTACATTCAAACCCCCCAGAAACAAATATACACTACCATTACTAAATCTAAGATTACATAGATTTTCTTATTTCTTTCCAGAATTTTTTTTTAGTTTTATCACATTTTAGTTGTGGACTATTATGAGTTAATTTTTGTAGGAGTTTCTGTTTTTGTCTACATTCATTTCACTTAATAAGGTTTGAATAATTTGTTCAATTACCATTTCTTAAAAAACAAGGATACTGGGTTTCATTTTGTTTGAATTTCCAAAATCATGGCCTTGAGTAATCTAGATACAGTACTGAATTTCATCCATTTCTCAGGAATGTCATGGGGTGCCCATACACCACTGAATTGAAGCATTCTGTGCTGGGTCCTAATGACCACCAGAGGGTATGTGCCACCTTCCTGGATATGGCAGTGTCATAATACTGTTACAGTGGAGTGATAATGCTAACATGTTGTCTGTGTGCAGCCTCTAATGCTAATGTATTATCCATAGTAGCCTTTGATGCTATTGTGACCATATGTGGCCTCTAATACAAATATAGTGTCCATAGAGAAGCCTTGAACACTAATATAACAGCTTCCATATTAATATAATGTCCACATCATGGCCTCTAATACTAAAATAATATTCACAACATGACATAAAAAACTAATATAATAGCTGCCCTGTGGTCTCTAATCCAAATATAATATACATACTATAACATCTAAAGCAAAATAGTATCTCCCTGTGATCTTTAATACTAATATGATATCCATAGTGTAGCACCTAAGGCTAATATAATAGCTGCCCTGTGTCCTTCATGTTTTTATGGTATCCATAGCTATTACGGTTTATATATGAGTTATCCTTTAAAAAACTCATGTGAGTCAATGAGATAAAATTTAAATGTGTAATGACTGGATCCTGAGAGCATTAACCTACATCAGTGCACCAATTTAATGAAAGCATTAACCTAATTATCCACTGATAGGGATTAACTGGGTGGTAACTGTAGGGTGTAACTGGACAAGGTGGGTAAATGGTGGCATTCCTTTGAGGTTAATATTTTCTCCCTGGGGAGAAGAGCTCTCTCTCTCTCTCTCTTTCCCCCCCCCCTTGTTTGCCAGCTTTTCTTCTCTACAGTTTTGGCAATGATGTTCTGCTTCAATTTGGACCAAGAGCTCAGTGGTAGAGTGCTTGCCTAGCATGTGTGAGGCACTGGGCTCAATTCTCAGCACTGCATATAAATAAATAAAAATCCATTGATTACTAAAAATTTTTTTTTAAATGAGCAATTGAGTTGTGTGTCTTTGGAGTGAGACCTCTGAAACCATGAGCAGCAAATAAGCTTTTCCTTTTTAAAAAATTTCTTGTCAGATCTTTTGGTCACAGTGGTGAAAAAGCTGACTAAATCAGTGAGTGGGTTTTTGCTATGAATAACTTATACGATTCAGTAGTCTTTGGAGATGGTTTTTTTGGGGAGGAAGTTTGAAATATTTAGAGACAAAGCTGGGAAGGGTTTAGTATGTTGCAGGTGGAGCTTAATTTGAGGGATTCTGGTGGGTTCTCAGAAGTCTAAAATGCCAATAGGATTGTAAGAAACAAAGAATGGAGTTGTAAGGTTTCAGAGGAAGAGGACTGTATTGAAATACTACTAGAGGGCATTCATATTACACTCTTGCTAGGAAGTTGTCTACATTTTGCCTGTGTCCTGAGACATTCTATGAGGTTGAATTAAAAGGTGATGAACTAATTAATCTGGCAAAGGAAATTTCAAGGCAACACAGCATTCAGGTAGTGAGATGGATATTGCTGGTGACCTTTAGTCAAATTTACTGTGGATCAGATCATAAAGCAGAGCAGAAAGATTTTAACAATTTCC